TTGGGGTTTTCAGTGTTATTATTATATGGAAACACTCTTCTTAACGTCGGTTGTTAGAAGTAATTTTCCCGCCAGCCTGGTCCCACTGCTATGTCAGCCCCAAATAACACACAGAGACACTGTATTAGATATAAAGCTGTTGGCCCGTTACTAGCATTTATTATCGGCTAGCTCTGTCTTAAATATTAACCCATTTCTATCAATCTAAGTATTTTCACGTGGTCTTATCTTACCGCAGAGAGGGTTCGGACTTCTGCTCTCTTGATTCTACATGTTGAATCTCCTACCTCTCCCGGAAACCTCCTTGTCTCCTAATCCTGACTATCTTGCTTTCCTATTGGCCAACAGTGCTTTTATTCATTAACCAATAGGAAAAAACATATTTACAGAATGACATCTCGCATCAGTCGATTGAATGTACATTTAGGCAACAGGGAAACAAGAGTGTTTGGAATAAATGGGTCCAGCTGTCTAGAAGAGGAGAGTTAAATGGGTTCCTAGGATGAGCAATGGATCAACCTGTCAAGAGGAGCATCAGTGGCACAAAGACAGAATGGGAGCAGAAGACAGTGACTAGGCTAGAAAGGTAGGTGGGACACAGAGAACACTGGCCAGAGGGAGTGCAGTGGACAAGGAGATTGAGCTTCATGATTTGACGATTTGAATTAACTGTCAGGAAAAATAAATGGGTTGTTGAGGAAGCTAGAATTATGAATGACAGTAATAAGATTATATAAAAAGGGGAAATTAAGCAGTTGTAAGGGGGAAAGAAGGGTAATTTGTTGTTATTTGGAAAATTATATTAAGTGTATTAACATTCATTGTCCATTACAATAGATCATTTTCTCTGAAGCCATTTTCACCTACTGCTTCCTAAGACTTTTAGCAAGTCATCTAGAACTGCCTAGTCAAGTGACAAGTCATTAGCATCTGTCACTGTAATTCCATTGCTTTTAAGACTCTTAAAAAAAAAAAAAAGAAAAGAAAAAGATCTGGGTCAGTGAGGTATCTTAGCAGGTAGATGCTTGCTTGCCACCAAGCCTCACAACCTGAGCCCAATTGCTTGGGCCCCCACGGAGAAAGGGAGGAATAGACTCTGAAGCCTTCTTCTGCTGTCCAAATGTACCCCATGCTCCGCACATACATGACTAAGTTTAAGGGTATAATAACAGCTTAATTATTTTTCCAGATCTGTGTCTTTATTAAGATTATAGAAACAATAGGACTGCCCGAATCTTCAGTAATGTGGACGCCAGGCAATGGAACAGTACCTACCGAAAGTACAACTAAGGATATTTTTAACTTGCAAAGAAAGAAATTTGGAAATGAGCTTATGACTAACCAAAATTTGACAATCTTTACTTTGTGAGTTTTAGGTTTTCATAAGTATTTATACTTTATTTGTGGGCTAAGTAATTTTACTAATTTTGAGATAAAGTTATTTAAAGAATAATCAATATATAGATTTTTTAAATATATATAAAATGTATTTATATGTACAAATACTTAAGACACGCATACATGTGACTTTGATTAATTGCTAAGGCTAAATGAAAGTAGGATTACTTTGTGGGCCTCATCCATACCTTCAAGAAAGCAAACCTTGCATAGACACAAAGGAAACATGTATTACAATGCCATTCAAGAAGAGACAGAAACTAAAATTCAACAGTTGCCCATAGCATTGTCTTTGAATATTCAGGGACACTGGGGCCACATTCATTCTGCACATCTCTATGTCCACCCCATGTGCAAATTAGCATTGGAAAGACCATAATTCATCTTCACGAAAGCTGTTTCACCTGCAAAGATGCAAATCTTTCATGATTCCATAACTAACTTTTTAAACTTCAAACCTTACTATCTAGGATTTTTAAATGTTAACTGTTTTGGGAAAACATAAAAGGGTTCACTGGTAAAAGTTAAAAATACGATGAAAATGAAGTAAGAGTTTTCCTAAATTTACTGGTTAAGCAAATATGTGAACACAACAATAAAAATAAAATTTTAACTTGGGCTTAGATTATTTAAAACTTGTTGTTTTAATTAAATGTATAATGTGAAAATATTGGGAATTAATAATGGCTTAATCAACATTTGCTGAGCTTAAACTTTTTCAAATTCTAAATTTTAAAACATTTCTTTCAATGGGTTACTTTAAGTTTCTGTATATTTTTATCTTTCAAGTTTTGCTTTTTTCTAAATATAACTTTTATATGATAAAAGCACCACATTATTTTTTATGGGCACCATGTCTCCTTGGATTGTATTTATTAAAAAGTCTGAGTTTTCTCCTGGTTACTACAGTATGACAGATGTTTTCTCAGGAGACTTTTTTGTTCTTCCTTGATTTTCCCAGTTATGAGACAAATCTAGCTGGGAAATGAGAATGTGATTGAACTTTTGATGGAGAGACTTCATTACACCACAGGATGACCTTTTAATTACAGTATTTCTATCTCTTATGAATACATGGAATGTATGATGGGAAGCCAAAGGCCAGGAACTGACTCACTCCTTAGGTGACTTCATCCACCTTGTTCAGCTTTATTCTTCCATCTCACTTTCTACAGTGACCACAGCCTCTGGTCCTGGCCTTTCCCAGAGTTCTGTGGGACAGAGTGCTTTAGTTTTTTTTTTTTTTTTTTTTTTTTTTTTTTTGGACATCAGCCTTTTGTAACACCTGTATTAACATTCATTTTTCTCAGACTTTCTTTGTCAGTTACAAGTTTCCAATCCTCTTCCTAGCTTCTAAGATCCCTGCTGCCTTGAGCTTATGGTCTTGTCTTCTGTCCTCTTTCTCATGAATACTTAGAACAGTTTGTTCTTTTACTCTTATTTGGTGAGTTCTCTTGAGGATTCAGCAGAACCAGCAGAGCAAGTTCCAGGTCACACCAAGAGCACACCACAGTGACAGTGCTGGGAGGGTGTGGGGCCACCAGATCACACCAAGAGCACACCGCAGTGACAGTGCTGGGAGGGTGTGGGGCTAGTCTTTCAAGGCAAACCACTACTGCTAAACTAATCACCAAGCTTAAAATAAAACAGAATGCTGTGGATGCAGCAAGGCACGTGTCTTAACATCTGGCTCCAGCATGTTTGCTGGCCCATTCATGTCCTCTTCAGCCTCCACACCAGGCTCTTCATTCACATGAGGTTGCTTGTTGCTCATTGCAGCCCCATGTGGAAGTCCAGGCTGTGGAGGCCAGGTGACCTGGTGAGGAGGAGAAGGGGCAAGGGAGAGCTGAGGTGTGACTAGGGGTGGGCTGACTCCACAGCACTGCCATGCACTCTGGACCAGATAAGCCTTCACAGGGGTGCGCTATGAGATCTGAAGGAAAATCATTTCAATAAGACTGCCCAATTGCTGCACTGTTATTTTGTTTGCCTTTTTAAAAAATTTATACAACTTTATTTTTTTATTAATTTTTATTTTTTAATTTTACATATCAATCCCAGTTCCCTCTTCCTCCCACCCTCTCTCCCACCCTCCCATGCCCCCTGACCACCCTCCTATCCCATACCCCCCCCACTCCACAGGGAGGGTGATGCCTTCCGGGAGGGGTTAACAAAATCTGTCAAGTCCTTTGGAGTAGGGACTAGGCCTTCTCTCCTGTCTCTAGGTTAAGGCAGTATCCCTCCATGGGGAATGTGCTCCCAAAGTCCCTTCGTGAACTAGGGATACATCCTGGTTCCACTGTCTGAGGTCCCTTAGGCTGCTCAATCCTTCTGGCTGAGACCCACCTTCAGGGGGTCTGAGCCTGTTCAATGCTGAATTCCCAGCTACCATTCTGGGGGCCCATTAGCTCCCCCTTGTTCAGGTAAGCTAGCTATCTCTTGTTTCTGTAGCCTGGTCTTGTCCTCCCTCTCTTCATCTGGATTCCAGTTCAGCTCAGTGTTTAGCTGTGGGTGTCTGCTTCTGTTTGCATCAGCTACTATGATGGTTGATAAATTAGTCATGAATCTCATTATCAAGGAAGGGTGTTTGTGGTAGCCTTTCCACTATCGCTCAAATTATTAGTTGGGGTCAGTCTTGTAGGTCCCTGGACATTTCTCTAGAGTCAGTTTTCTCTTCAAACCTATACTGGTTCCTCTTTTATGTTATCTCTCTTTTTTTCCCTCTTGTCTATTGCTCCCCTGATTCAATCTTCCTAGTCCCACATGCTTTCCTCTCCTCCCCTTCTCTTTCTCCTAGCTCCCTCTCCACTCACTGCCCCCCTCCCCATATGCTCAGGAGATCTTGTTCCTTTCCCCTTCTGTGAGGGACCTTGTATGAATCTTTAGGTTCCCCCATGTATCCTAGTTTCTCTGGTGTTATGAATTATAGGCTGGTGATCCTTTGCTCTATGTCTAAAATCCATATATGAGTGAGTACATACCATGTTCCTCTTTTTTCGTGACTGGGTTACTTCATTCAGGATGGTTTCTTCAAGTTCCATCCATTTGCCTGTGTATTTCAAGATTCCATTGCTTTTTCCTCAGAGTAGTATTTCATTGTGTAGATATGCCCCATCTTCTTTATCCATTCTTCAGTTGAGGGGCATCTAGGTTGTTTCCAATTTCTTGCTATTATAAATAATGCTGCTATGAACAGATATCTTTGTTGCATGGATGTGGATCATTTGGGTATATGCCCCCAAAGAGGGGGATTTCCGGGTCCTGTGGTAGGCTGATTCTCATTTTCCTGAGGAACTGCCATACTGATCTCCAAAATGGCTGTACAAGTTTTGTTTACAATATGACTTTTGAAAAATCTGGCACCTACAAATTATTAATTGGATATGTTACATCATGATATATTTAAAATGCATGGAAATCCCAGTAGAATAACTTGAGTGTCTCCATTATTAGACAAGTAGGAAAGGAAGAGCTCCAGAAGCCACAATACTGACAGTGGCTAGGGTTGCAGTGGGGCACAAGTAGCCCAGTTCCAAACCCCATTTTCTCTCAGTCAGGTCTCTGGCAACCAAATCATGAACATTGCCTAATTGTCCTTTCAGGTTTTTGCCATTTTCCTCCTACCATAAAAATGAGAAGTACATCCCAATGATACACACATCAAGCAAGTACAATGGTAGCTCTTATGGACAGAAGCACTTCCGCAGTCAAGACCCTAAAAAGTGGATTGGTGTCAAGGTAGGTTCATGATGCAGTAGAGATGGCAATGTAGATTGATGATAGTAAATGCATGTATTCTCATTTCAGTTATGATCTTCATAACCTTAAACTTATTTTAAGCTCTTTTTGTAAAGGTGGTGCAGCTGACCTGTGTCAGTGAGGGACTTGCATTGATTCTTTGCATTAATGGTTCTTAATGTGTGTTTTATGACTATACGTCCTATAATCAATAATGTGGATCACTGTCTTTGACAATCAGGGTGCGTTTTCAATGTGAAGTCCCAGAGACTGGAATGGAACATTGAGCATGGAGGCCAGATATTTCTTTCTCTCTCAATCTCTGTGCCTATATACCTATATGTGCACCAAAAGAGATGTGTGATTGGCATATATAACATGGACTATATACACCTGACACTTATATGTGTATGTACTGTGCACATTTGGAAAGTGTACAGAACATGTAGGTTTTAGATGACATCTATAAGTTGTGTTGTTATCCTTGCTGGCATAACAAATTACCCTGAAAAAAACAAGTGAACAAAGTTAATAAAGTTGGAAGTGTCACACTGGCTTATTTTAAAATATATTGCATTGCCATAATAACCAAAACAGCATGCCTGGTACAGGCATTCAAAGACACACTTTGATGGATGGGATAGGAGAGGAAGTGCAGAAATGTGCCAACATGTATATGCTCAATTGATTTTCAACAATGGTGGCAAATACAGTGGCAGGTGAACAGTCTACTCAACAGACGGTGTTGGAAAAACTGGATATTCTCATGAAGGAAAATAAAATTGGATCCTTACTTCTCACCACATTAAAAAGTCAACTCAACACACATTCAGGGTTTAAACATAAGTCCTGAAATTACTAGAGGAAACAGAGAAGAACTTCCGATATTGGGCTCAGCAATGCTTTTTGGATATGACCTCAGATGCATAGGCAGCAAAATGTATGTATAAAAAAGAAATTGTATCAAATCGAAAAGCTGTACACAAAGAAACCACTAATCAACAGAGAGAGAAACATCTGGTGGGATGAAGAAGATGTTTGGAACCATACATTGTAATGAGCGTCAAAATCCAAAATGTGTAAACACTTCATATAGCAAGAAAACAAGCAGAGGGGTGTGTTTGTGTGAAGGCAATGGCTGGAAGATATTCAAAAGAAAATATGCAGGTAGCATATGGACAGATGTTCAACATCATTAAAATTACCACTGAAATGCAGATCAAGACCCCATTGTATCTTCTCATACTTGACAGAATAACTATTACCACAAAAGACAAAAGGAAAATGGTGGTCAAGTTGTGAAAAAAGGGAACCCATGTGTTCGTTGTGGAAGTGTAGGTTAACATAGCCATATGCTACTGTTTGACCCAGCAATCAGAATTCCGAGATTTAGTCAAAAGGACATGAAATTAGTATGTCAAGAAGGAAGTGGACACCATGTTCATTGCAACATCATTCACAATAGCCTGGACAGCAACCAAAGGTGAATGTATAAGGAAATGGGTTACACACACAGTGAAATAGTATTGTACCATTAAAAAAATGAAAGAAATCCTGCAATTCATGATGTGGATGAACCTGAAAGACTTTATGCCAATGGCAAAAGTCAGGTATGGAAAAATAGATACTACAGCATGGAAATCCGAAATCAAATTCATAGTAGAAAATAGATGAGTGGGTCCCAAGGACTTGGAGATGGAGGTAAGCTAAAGTTTTGCTGCAGAGACTCTACCCCATGCCTCCCTACTAAGGGTGGCATGGGAAGCTTGGCATTGGGAGCAGTCATCTTAACATTTTGATGCTAGAAGAAACCACTGTGTCCTGAGTGGGGGAAGCAGAAGCCATGATGGTCTCTGAGTTGTCTCGTGTGACCATTCTTCCATTTCCTTGAAGAACAGTTACCCAGTTCTGTGGAGTACAAGAAGCCCATAGCTTTCTTCCTCCATGTCTGCTTTCTTCATTGAGTTCAAGCTTTCAGTTCCTTTGCTCCTCTAACTCCAGCTCTATTTCAGACTTCTGTTGAGAGGCTGATTAAATTCAAGTTGAGCCATCTGTCTTACTGTCTCTCAGAAAAACAGAGATGTTGCCTCTGCTATGTCATGTCTTCCTTTAAGAAGAGCTTTCACATTTCATTTCATCTTAATCCATAACATAAATATGGGGTTTTGAGGGAGAGGGAGCAATTACTTTGAACATACCCCAAGGTACCTGTCTAGTTCTGGTTTTCATTGCTGTGAAGAGACACCATGACCACAACAATTCTTATAAAGGAAATATGTAATTGGGGTTGCTGGCTTACAGGTTCAGTTCAGTCCATTTTCATCATGGTTGGGAGCATAACAGCATGCAGGCAGACATGGTGCTGAAGGATAGCCTAGAGTCCTTCATCTTGTAGGCAGCAGAAGTCTACTGAAAGTCACAGTAAGGGAAGCTTGAGCAAAAGCAACCTCATACACTCCCCTACAATGGCACACTTCCTCCAACACGGCCATGCCTCCTAATAGTGACACTCCCTTTGGGGGCTCTTTTCTTTCAAACCACTACAGTACCTTTCATGTCTAACATTTTGATTTACTATTGTTATTGGTGTGGGTGTATGTGAGAGCATGTAAGTGCGTGACATACATGTGGATGTCTGAAGATTGCTTTCAGTAGTCTGATCTCTCTTTCTACCCTGAGTTCCAGGCACAGAAGTTGGCTCCTAGGCTTGCTGAGTCATCTTGCTCATCCAGTAGGCATCTTTCAAATTATAGGCATTAAGTCACTCTGTTTAAAGACTGTCTTCAACACTAGTAATTCTAGGTATAAGGTTAGTACAGTGAGCTCAGTTGGTTTACCCTAGGAACTGATTGGCAGACTGAGGTGGGGTTATCATGTCATTTTATAAAATCCCACAACCAATCTATTGACATCTTCCACCAATGTACAATCCTCCTAAACACAAAATAGCTATGAGATTTATTTAATCCTATACTTTGGATGTTCATAAATGTGATATGTATTTCATTTTATAATCAACATAACTTTTCATGTTGTTGCCTTTTCATCATTTGGTTGAATTTAGACAAACCCTTCTTTTAAAGTCTGTTTAAGCATGTTTATCTCTGTTCATAGTAGGAAAGGTCCTTGTGCAATGTTCTGTTTCCTTTCAGAGTTTTGTGGCTGGTTCACTTAACATAGTCCAAGAGCATGCACTTGTGTATCTGCCTCACTTAATCAACTTCAGAGAAACAAACATTTGAAACTCACTAGAAGTGATAACAGCTTGTTCCATTATTTCAGAAGTCTCATTAGAGACAATCTTTAATTCATGAAAAATAATTGAACAAAATATAGAGATTCAGTAAATGTTAATAAAGCATTGCATCCCTAGCCCTGTGCAAACTATAAGAAGTACAGTGAGCATCTCCTTCCTCCTCCTCTTTTCCGTGCTCCTTCCCATCTTTCTTCCTTACTCTTCAAGTGACTGCACCAACTAATCAAATTACCCTTATGGGGCAAGCATGATCTATACAGTACAAGGTTAGTTGTTTCACTAGTTGAAAAATCTAGGAGATGTTTAAAATATTTTTTATTTTGACTTGCTACTGAATAACTTGAATAAGAGTTAATATTTTTAAAAGTAGATTTGTTTACCATTCTACATTTTTTTAGCAGTTTCTCACTATGTAAATTTGGTTAGCCTGGAACTTACTAGTGTGATCCTAAACTTATGGAAATCCTGCATCTACTTCCTGAATGTGGAAATTTCTGGTGGGTGCTGAGAAACAAAAGTTTCTCAGCCCTTTAGTTCCAAATAAATACACAGTGGCTTATATTAATTAGATACTATTTGGCCAATGGCTCAAGCTTCTTTTTGTATAGCTCTCTCTTAATTATTAGCCCATTTCTATTAAACTATATATTGCCATCAGGCTGTGGCTTACCCATAGTGCTCCAGCATGATACTCCTTCAGAGGGTACATGGCATCTCTCTGGCAACTCTCTCTCTACGTTCCTCTTCACCTTCTCCTAGTCTGGTAGCTCTGCCTATACTTCCTGCCTGCCTACATCCTGCCTGTCCATTGGCCGAAACAACTTTATTCATCAGCCAGAGGACATCCCTCATCACCTAATAGTTCATATATTTTTAGAAAATGTGATTTCCTGAACTTGAGAATTGGAGACCATATCTTATTATTGGAGGGTTAAAGGTAATCTTAGGAGACTAGAGTTATTAGGAACATAATACAAGGCCAAAGGTGGGTGGAGTAATTAAGTACATTTAAATGTGCCTTGAGGGATGAGGGTATGGCTCAGTATTAAGACTGAGTTGGGATTGAGTCTCCAGTCAGTGAAAGCAAGCAAGACAGGGTTAGTTGGATACAGTAGATTGATGTCAGTTAAGAACATACCTTGCCATCATGATGCTGTCCGTGGAGAAATGACTTCCTCTTCTGCTGTCTTTAAACATAGAAGCTACAGGTTTCAGGTGACTTGCTAACCAGCTGGGTTAAAGAATGGCAGTTGCAGTAAATCAAATATGTGTTCAGTGCTTTCTCTATTTATACTCACATCAACTTAATACCTTACTTCCTTTGTTTTGTCTTTGCTCCAGAAAGCTGTATACAATAAAATCATAAGTCAATGAACTGAGATCAGATAATACTATTTTTTTTCCTAAAAACTGGAGTCAGTAATGAAAAATAGTATGTATGCCTATAAGTTTTACATGTATTTATAGCAAACTTATATTTGTGTAGGCATTTTATTTATGTGTATGTGCAAAGCTAACATTAGGTATCTTTCTTCCTTTGCTGTCCACTTTGTTAACTGAACCTGAGTCTCTCAGTGGACCTGGAGCTTTCTGGTTCCTGTCAGACTAGCTAGCCAGCTTTCCTCAAGAAGGCTGTGTGCCTGGTACAGGTGGCTGCCATGCCTGCCAGGCTTTTAACGTGGGTTCTGCGGATTCAAACACCTGTCCTCACATTTACCTGGCAAGTGCTTCATCCACCGAGCCA